CAAAGAAAGACCGAAACCAATGAAGTCAGAAAGAGAATGGTTGGACGGTATATTGACGGTATATATTCTGAAACTGTTGTATCTTATTCGCGTTTTCACGTGACGTCACAGAGGCCATGTTGGTATTCTAACCTCGGGGAATTGAACTCTATTTTATGAAAAAAAAAACTGTGCAGAAAGTTTCTGTTGTTTGGTACAGCAATATGGCTGCCTAGTCACGTGAGTGCAAACGCTCTATTCGTTATCTGATGACGTTCTGAATACCAGTATATACCTTGTTTTTGAGGTTGATGATATCTGTAGTTGCTTGAAGGCAGCAATCCTTTGTCGATGTGTTGGTCAAAGCCATCTGATTTAGTTCTACCTGTAGATGTGATAGAGAATTCGAAGCAGCCAGGATTGTTATTTATTGTCTCGGTATTCACTTTCTTCTATTAATTATCCCTAAGTCGAGGAAAACACTGGGACGAATTAATTGACATTGCAGTGCATTGTGGGGTTATGTTATAGGACATATTTCCAAGATGGCGTCTATCGTGTTCCCTAAAATGTCCCAAAATGCATTGCAATGCTAACTCGACCCAGTTTTCTCCTTAAACTCGGAATGGCTAATATCCACTGTATTCTGCATGATTTGACAAGTGAACAGGCTAGTTATAGGTACTTGCTGTCATTGCGCATGTTTAAATTATGAGCCATCCTAGATATAATATAACCCCCSTCCCCCCAWCCCGGTCATAAGTTCATTAAAAGACCCCTATGAAATTTGTATGATCGAGGCCAGGGCATATGGCCGGGATTCTACGGCAGTAACGTAAATATATTTGTTTTGATAGGAAACGTTTTCACCTGTTGTTTCAGGGCGTGAAACTCTTTTTCCAGTTTGTCATACTTTTGCTGCAATGACTGARTCTGCAATCAAAAACAAACAAACAAAGGTGAATACATGCACCTGAAACAACCCAATATGTGGACCTTCATTACGCGGCAGTCATGTTAATACCCATGAGAATTACAAAACAAAAAACAAAAAAGTAAAAGTTCTTATTAACTCATCATAAAGCGATTGAATTAACCTGATTCACAGGAAAATTCATCATGAAGCAATCGGATGTTGCGTGAGACAGGTCCAAGTAATACAGGTGACACTGCTAGCCTGCAGCTTAGGTCGTTCATCCAAGAGATGATTAATTATTGTCTGAATTGGTAAAAGTGCATGATATCTTTTGTTTTTCTTCTACTCTTACCTTGAGGGTCTCTTGAATCTTTTCTTCCTGTTAAACGAAAACCACGTTAATCGATTAGTTATTTGTAACGCATGCGCTGTCGTGCCATCAGTG